CAAGTTTCAAGATAGGGATCTTGGAAAAATTCAAGAGTTGATAAACGCCACACCAGAGGAATTAACAAAAGATGACTTGATGGGTAGAAGGGAGGGAGGGAGGGAGGGAGAGGTGTGTAGTCAAATTCTTTGGAAGCAGCTGGGTTAAAATTCCATTTGAAGCCTTCCATTCTAAAGAAGCTTATAATTAGAAACAAGACAAGGTGTTTTTGAACCTCATAATAGATGGTAGTTTCTGTATCAGAAAACATTTCTGATACCGAATGAATCAGTTCTGAAACTGATTCATGAAACAATGTTACATCACTAGCCTATCTAATACAACAATAATCAGAACTATACTTTACCCTTCAATGTCTCTGGAGTTAGAAACACCAACCTCCCAGAAGTCGAAAATTTGCACATAAAACTCAGCCACTCCTAGCCTACCATTGACTGGAAGCCTTATTGATAACATAAACAGTCGATTAACACATATTTTGTATGTTATATGTATTATATAATCTTAAAGTAAGCTAGAAAAAAGAAAATGTTATTAGGAAAAATACATTTACAGTACTGTATTGTATATCATAAGTTTACATAGTCTGTTTATAAGATGTATTGACTGAAATGGCAGCAGGACCTCAGTTTATGTACATATCAAGCAGTTCAACTTGTTCTCGTGATGTCATGACTTTCCTTTGCTTCTTAGGAACACTTCCAGCATTTCTAGTGGTACTTCTTATGGGTCCCGTGGTGTTATTCAAGGTTTAGGATATTGCACTAAACATGATGAAAAATAACATGAAGACTGTGAGAGATCACATTTTACTGTGATAACAAAATGTACTGGCAATAGGAACTGCTCATGTGGATATGAGTAGTGTCATCACAGGGTGTTTTAAGGGAATACTCTCAACACTTGAACTCACTATAAGAGCAACACAAGGTGGTTACAAAATTATTATAGTAGAACAGTATGTACTACAGTTAGTTTTATGCAGTTATGATTTAATATTGCACCTTTGTGTATGTTACATTTCTCTGGACTGCATATGGCAGCATGTAAGGTCTGTTGGTGTGCATAAATTTTGATAAATGTTAACTTTTTATAATACATCTGTGTGTATTTTATGGCAGTAAATGATACAATAGACTAGTATTTTATACATTCGTGCCATCCCTAGCTTTTTCTTAATTTTTCGATATTTCCAAGCCATGCGGTTTGTCTGCAAGTTTTTTTCAAATTGTTGCAAGTTTTCAAGACAAAATTTCCAAAATACTTTTTGAAAAAAATCTGTGTGTGAGTGGACCCACACAGCTCAAACCCATGTTGTTCAAGGGTCAACTAAAAACCTCATTTTGATAAGACTGTTGTGAAACTTACATTCATTTCTCGTGGGAGTGTAAATGATTCAGTGTTTCAGGAGGGCAGTTTGACAGGTAGCAAAGCCTTGAAAAGGTTCATACGCTTTGACCTCGTGATTTCTTTTAGGACTATATTTTTGAGACATGATCAGAAATGTCAGAAAAGGTGCAAGGATATTAATTGTAATTATAGCATTACTTACAATAGGAAAATGAAATTAGCCTTTTGTGTAAAGGTCTATAATTGAGTTTGACTTCTTTGTCAAACGGCTACTTCAAGTGGTTTGATAAGTTTAATTTGATAGACACTTTGATTATAGCATTAATATAAATTTCGTAACTATAGTAATTGGCTAAAAACAGATTCAGTTATTTAGGGATTTCATCTTAGGAAATTTATCCTAAAATATGACATCTTTATGTAGTTGTGTGTGTAAGCTGTGATTTTGGAAAGAACAAAAATGTTTCTAGCAGTTTGTTGTTTTCAGTATCATTGTCATCATATCCTTTTTGTGTGAATATAATTTTGACTACCAATTGTTTTCTTCTTTTACAGGGAGATAACATAAAATGATCATATAGCTAGGCTAATTGAATATCCAGAAATTTTTATTTTTACTATAGAATTCTTTTTATCATTTCATTATTTCTTTCAGAAATTTCAAGCTTGAAAGATATGATCTAATTTTAAGATTTAAAAAGGCAGTTTTTATCTCCAGAGCAGTCACTCCTTATCTACTATGTAGAAATAATTGTCATCTCTCCCTTCAGTATTCCCTATCTTAGTTGCTCAAGGAAGAAACCTGAAATCTTAGTACTTCTGCAGACTTCATTTTTAGCTTACATCACATGAGTCCAATTCTTGACGAAGTCCTGTCTGCCTCCAGAATGTCTTGAATTGCTATCATTTTTTTCCATATCCACTGACTGTGCCCTGGTTGAGGAACATTACCTTTTTCTTGAAGGACCATAGTATCATCTTAACTGTTTCCTCAATCTTCCCCTGACTCAATCTATTTGTTTTTTGTTTTCTTTTTTTGTTTTTGGTTTCTATGTTAAGATTTTATTGAAGTTAGGCATGTACCATGTTTAAGAAGTCAAATATTTGCATAAGAGAACAAAATATAGCAAAACCCTAACTCAGTTATTCTCATCTTTCCAACCTCGATCCTGGAGCCCCACTCCCATCCAGATCTCTTAGCTGTTTCTCCTCCGAGGAATTTATGTCTGTTTTTCACATAATATATCTAAATCTTTACTTTTCCTTGATTTTTCTATTTTAAGTATGATACATTGACTCTTTACTATAGAAGATGATTTCACTGTCTTATATTCTTTCCTCCCCATTTATATAATTCACTTCTCCTCCTTTTGCGCATACAGTTATATCATAGTTTTAACTAACTATATTCTTTACAATTGAACTGTGATGATTTACTCAAGTTTTGTTTTCTTTGAGCTAAAATGTACTTTAGTTTTCTTTGTATCCATCACTAAATTTTTGCCACAAGTGAATGTACTGAATGTCTCTTCTTAATATTTCCAAACACGTAAGGAATTTTTTTTTTCACTTTCAGAGACAGATGTCTGTTGGAATTTCTATCCCCTTGCTCCTTTCTTGACTCTTCTTCTTAAAGGTCTGCTTATAGCTTTGCCCCAGGATCTCCCATTGCTGTTAATCAGAGGATTCCCAATATTTTTTTTTTCTGTATTGGCTCTTCAGTTTCCTGGGTCTCATATCTTCCTTTTTCTTTGCTAGTTTGTTATGATAGAACACATACTCTACTAGTTCTCTGAGAGTAGGTACATAGAAGGCACATTCTCTGAGATGTTCATGTCTGAAAATTTCTGTAGTCTACTTTCAAACTTAATTGATATTCGTGTTGGATATAGAATTCTAGAAAATTGAATTCTTCAAAATTGAAGGCATTGCTTCAGTTGTCTTTTAACTTCCAGTGCTGCTATTAAGACATTTGATGCCTTCTGATACCTTTTTTCCTATATGTGCTATTTTTGTTGTTTTGTGTTTGAATCTCTGCTCAGTTTTCTCTGTTTCCTCTTAAAATTCCTGTTATTCAGATGTTGACTCTTACGGTCTTCAAATTAGCATAAAAACATTTTACTGCTATCATTAACTTTTTGTTTAAAAGATTTAGTCACCTTTATTTCACAGCTCTTCTACTGACTTTCAAATTTATCCTGTATTTTTTATTTCTAAAAGCTCTATTTTGTTCTCTGTATATTTCTTTTTATATATCCTCCTGTTTTTGCTTAATGGGTACAATGTCTTTTTTCATATATTAAAAAATAATAATTATATGGTTTTGGCTTCTTCTTTTCTCAGTTTTCTTTGTTCCCTGCCCTAACTCGACTTCTGTTTTCTGCCCTAACTCTATTTCCTCAGAGTTCTTTTTCTTTTTTCTTGTGGTTTCTCTCTCTCCGTGGCTATTGTTGTATTATAGAGGTTTATTAACCTGTTTCGGACCTTGGGCCCATCCGGCAGACTGAAGCCTATGAAACGCTAGCCCTTCTTTAAAAGGAAATCAGTTCTATTAAAATATACTCATCAAAATATTTTTTAAAGCTGTTATACAGCAATGCATGTGCTTCTTTGTTAATGTAGTAAAATCTAGAGGCCAGTCTTAAATACGACCATATCTGTGTGTGATGATTCATGCCTGTAATCAGTACTTTGAGAGGCTGAGGCAGGAGAATTGCTTCAGCATAGGACTTCCAAACCAGTCTGGCCAATGTAGTGAGACCCTGTCTCTCCAAAAATAAAAACAAAATTAATCGAGTATGGTGGTACACACGTTTAGCCCCAGCTACTTGGAAGGCTGAGGTGGAAGAATTGCTTGAGCCAGGGAGATCGAAGCTGTAGCGAACTGTAATCCTACCAATATACTCCAGTCTGGGCAACAGAGGAAGACCCTGTCTCAAAACAACTACCATAACTTTGAAGTAGTGATGAGTGTAAATTGTATTTTTAAGGTATCTGCATCAACTGTAATGTGATATGAAAATAGCAGTGATTTTGATTGGTAACTACATCACATGCATTGCCAATACCACTGTAATCTGTGGCCTACATTTATAACTAAAAGAACTGTCTTATTTCAGTTAGAGGTTAGTGTAAAATGAATTTTAATTTTTTTATACAAGTTTGTGGGCCCTTTGTATTCTGTCAACAGGCACTTTGGGGGATCATGATCCGTTTTATTAAAGGTTTCTTCAAATGTTTGGAGTGATTGACTGTTAGCTCAAAGAGTGAGATACTAGAAAACTGATCGGGAGCTCTGGGCGACTGAATAGAGCTTGACAACTAGTAGTCTTCACTGTATGTTGTGGGATGCTCATCTTCATCTGTGGATCTTTTCCTCTTGGGATTCAAATCTTTTCAGAGAAGAATCCGCCAGTATTCTGCCTGTGGAATGTAAATTTGCCTATGTTTTCAGTCATTGTGCTCTCTTACGTCCTGCTAATCAAATTTGCTTCTGTGATTTAACTGAATGGATATAATATTATGTATGTTCCCATTAAATAAAGTGATTCTAGAAAAGAACACAAACTGTCTTTAATGTTTTGAAAGCCTTAATCTGGCAAGAAAACTGGGCTATTAGTAATATTTAATTTTCACCTTAATTTTCCAGGAGCTTTCAAGTTGTGGATGGAATAAAAAAGAAAAGTACAGTTCTGCACCAAATGCAGTTGCCTTCACAAGAAGATTCAATCATGTGAGTTTATAAAATTTTGATGCTGTATCTGAAATTTAGTTCCTCAAGATATACTTTTTCCTTAAGAAATAATTTAACTTTTTACATCAGTTCTGGAATATTTTCAGCCAGTATCTCTCAAGTATTGTCTCTGTGCATGATCTCTGTTTTTTTTTTCTCTGTAATTCCTGTTGAAAATTTATTGGAACTTGACGTTCTTTCCTCCTTGTCTCTTACCTTACATATTTTCTTTGTTTTTGTCCTCCATTCTGAGTGATTTCCTTAGATCTACATTTCAGTTCACTGATTGTCTTTAGGTGTGTTTTATCTGTTTCAAATCTGTATGCTTTTACACCAGCCATGCTCTTTTCTTATTTTTATTTTATTTTTAAAATTTATAAATTTTCAATGTAGTTTCTGTGTTATTATTGGAACTTCTTGGGATACTACTATATTTCTGCTCATTCTTAAAGTGGTTTTTTCAAAGATATATAATGAATTTTGTATCTTTGGCTTGAAAGCTCGTGTCTGTTTAAGCTTTATCCATGAGAATTTTGCTGCTGCCTCAATTGAGGGAATACATATTCTAAGAGGCTCTTTGTTTGCTTTTGCTCATAACCAGGGCTGTCGCAGACCTGAGACTGTTTTTTTATGTTTATTGTTGTGCTTGGGGCATCTTTGTACTTCTCTGTAGTAAAAATTTAGATACCAAATCCAGTTAAAGGCAGCCTATAGTTAACAAATTCTTCTTTTAAAGTTAAATTAATTTTTTCTTTTTTTAGAGACAGGGCTTCTATCTGTCACCCAAACTGGAGTACAGTGGTGCAGTCATAGCTCACTGCAACCTCAAATTCTTGGGCTCAACCAGTCCTCCTGACTCAGCCTCTCAGGGAGCTAGGACTACAGGCATGCACCACCATGCCAGACTAATTTAAAAAGATTATTTTGTGGAGATGAGGTCTCACTATGTTGCCCAAACTGGTCTCGAACTCCTGGCCTCAAGCGATCCTCCTGCCTCAGCCTCTCAAGGCACTGTGATTGTAAGCATAAGCCACCATGCCCAGTCTACAAATTCTTATGAAAGAGTTTTTCTTTTTTTCTCCTTGACCACCCAGAGCCTACATTATTATAGATGCACTTGTATGTTGTCTCCCTTTTTCAAGGGAATTGAAAAATAAGTGAATTGTTTTAGTCTACCTTTTCACTGAGATTATAGACCTTTGAGTAGCATTAGATAGAAACGGAGGAGTGGAGAGGTGTGAGGCCTTGTATTATGTCTTTGAAGGAGCATTAAGTCCCAAGCCCCTATGTCACTGAGATAGGAAATCCTCCACGGGCAGCTACAGTACCCACTCTTATAACCACTGCTTTGCTTTTATTTCCTTATTTTTTGATCTCTAGAAGAAATCCTTTATTTTTCTTCCCGTTCAGAAATACATTTTAAAAAAAAGAAGTTTGTGATATGTAACCCAGCAATTTTAGGGGCTTATAGCAAAAATATTTTTTCTTATGAGTCCAGTAATTTTATGAAACCGTGTCTTGGTGTTAGTTACTCTGGGTCAGCGTTCTTAAATGTTGTTGGCTTTAACAGACTGTCATTTGGGGGGCATGTACACTTAGCCTTCCAGTATAGGGGTTTCAGGGTGGCTGGATTTATTACATAGTAGCTTAGGGCTCTCCAAGAGAATGTTCCAGCAATCAAGGCAGGAAGCTGCATGGTCTTTTATGACCTCGTCCTGGAAGTCAGTGTCACTTTCACTAATACTTTCTTCATCAAAGCAGTCACAAGCTTGCCCAGATTCAGTAAGAAGTGATACACGTCCTAACTTTGGATGAGAGAGTGACAAAGAATGTATGCTTAAAAGCACCATAGACAAATTGTCTAAGCCAGGTGCAGTGGCAAGTGCCTGTAGTTCCAGCTGCTGGGAGGCTGAGACAGGAGAACTTGAGCCCAAGAGTTCAAGACCAGCTTGGACAACATACTGAGACCTCGTCTTAAAAAAACAAAACAAAACAACAAAACAACAAATCGTGTTGGCCAGGTGTAGTGGCTCATGCCTGTAATCCCAGCACTTTGGGAGGCAGAGGCTGGTGGATCACTTGAGCTCAGGAGTTTGAGACCAGCTTGGGCAACATGGCAAAACCCTGTCTCAAGTAAAAAAAATACAGAAATTGGCTGGGCATGGTGGCTCACACCTGTGGTCTCAGCTACTTAGGAGGCTAAGGCAGGAGAATCACTTGAGCCTGGGAGGCAAAGGTTGCAGTTAGCCGAGATCACCCCACTACACTCCAGCCTGGGCAACAGAACAAGACTCTGTCTCCAGAACAAAACAAATCACCATAATATTTGTCTTAAAATTTGCCTGATGTTAAATTTAATTAAGTTGGTGAACTTAATTAAAGTTAAATTAAAGTTGGTGAACATGCGCTTTAGATTTGAATTTGAATAGTTGATATTCAAATCTGAATTTGAATAGTTGATATTTGAATATATTTGATATTTGAATAGATTTGAGATTTGAATAGATTTGAATAGTTGATATTTGCTAAGGTTATTAAGATTCCCATAGCATAACTTTTTTTTTTTTTTTTTGGAGTAAACCTTGTTAGAATTGGGGAGGATTATCACTATTAGTAGCCCAAGTACAGTAACAAGTATTAAGGTGACTTTGTAAAATATGTATACTTTATATTTACATATATATTTGTAAAATATATGTAAAATACATAATGACATTTGTTTACAGATGAAAATTGCAAGTAAAATCTGAAATATTTCTCATTAAAAATGTGAAGAAATATGAGGCGGTGGCATTATTTTTTGCACAATAATTTCGAACTATATTCTGTATTTAGATTTGTATAAGTGAACCAACTTACAGTGCTTTGACTTTGTTTTCATAGTACATGAATTAAAGTGTATTACGTGGACATATTGTATCATATAATAAGCAAACTGTTCAGAGTAGAGTATTTTAATATTATATCTAATCTGCCTTCTAATAAATTAGTTTTAATTATTTTTTAAATCAAGATGGTTTTATTTGAAAGCATTACAAAATTTTTGAAATGCAGTTTTAATGTTAGAATGTTAACTTAGATATATATTTTTTTCTTTTGATATTTTGTTTTATTTACACCAAGAAAACCCTACTTGGGAATCTTCACTTATGATTCTACTCAATCTAAATAAACGGTCATGTAGAATTACACAGCCACAGAAGAACCTGCTATAAGTAGCATCTTTTACAATGTTTAATTTTAGAGCCTACCTAATTCTGCCAAAAATTTTTAGAATACAGCAAAAAAAAACCTTACAAATTAAAAATCATAGTGATAGTTATCTAAAATTTTTATTTACAGGTAAGCTTTTGGGTTGTTAGAGAGATTCTTCATGCTCAAACATTAAAAATTAGAGCAGAAGTTTTGAGCCACTATATTAAAACTGCTAAGGTAAGAAAAACTTGTGTTTTTATTTTTGAGTTCAACCATTCATAAATGTTTGTAAGTGAATAAATATTCATGATGCTTTATTCACTGTTTACTGATACTGGAAAAATAAGGTTCATTTATATAAGTCAATTTTTAAAATTGGTTGCCTACTTTCTCTGCCTTTTTCTTTATTCTTCCTGTTTTCCTACCCTTTCTTTTATATTCTTCCTCCTACTCTCTGAGTAACTGAATTATGTGATCTGTTTTACTGAATAAGTAGACAAAGGTTGGATTATGGTAAAGTATGATATTTATAAAATACTGGACTATTCTGCAGGTGATGAGGAAAGCCATAAGGATTAAGTAGGAGAATACTACTTCACTTCCGAAGTGAACCATGTGAAGAATAAGACTTTATTTTTAAGAGAATGGTATATGTGATGTTGCCACATTGTTAACTGAACAGTTATTGTGTGACATAGATAATAAATACAGCAAGAGAAATAGAGCATGGATTTCAAAGGTAGTTGGAAATTAGAAGGGTGATACAGGATATTCTACAAAAGATACCAAGATTTTATTAAAACTTGTAACAACTCTGAATTTAGTTGTAGGGGCAGAAAGGGGGAGTGAGCTCTTCTTGAAGGGTCAAGGCTGGCAGCCTTATAACAAAAGACAGGTTAATGAGAGAAAAGCATAGCGGATTTATTACGTGTGCATAGGAGTCATACAAAGTATAAACTCAAAGCAGGGCCAAATGGTTGATGCTTAAATATCTTCTTCACTGGGGAGAGGAGAGTTTTTGGGGAGGAGGTACATAAGAGTAAGTGATTTTCAGGGAAAATGGATGAGCCCAGAGAACGAAGTCCTGAGACCAAGTTTCCCTGAGCTCTGGGAGAGGTGGCGTTACAGGTTATGGGAGAGCAAAGGGAGAAAAACATATTAAGCAAAGACAGATACCTCAAGGAAATATCTCAGATAATCTCAGAGCTACCCTCAGAAAGAATAGTTGGGGTAGCCTATGGTTGAGTTAATCTTTCCTAGATCTGGACAAGGGAGAGGATGCTCAGAGAAAGCCTAGCTGTTCATTTCACCAATGTAGATTCTACAAATGCGAATCTTCTCTACAAAAGGCAAATTTTCAGGGCTATTTCTGTCTGTAGGCCCTCTGAATAGCCATCTCAAAATATGTCAGAGAAGTATATTTTAGGATATTTTTGGTTTCCTTTAAAGTTCTCTAAGAAGTATGGTAATTGTAGCCACGTTCATTCGTTACTCTTGTAATAAATACATAACTTTCCTCACTTGTAAATGAAAGAAGGCAGAATAAAATGAGGGTACCATGTTTACAATTATTATGAGTCATAACTCTTTCCTATTTTCCTTAAGAACATGGGAGCAATTGTGTTCTAACATTCTATGGCACTAGGTGGCAGAGCTAGCCTTCTACAATTTTGATATTTTGCATAAGTGTCAAAATATTTTTTTAAAATTCTTTGTGATGATATGTTAGATAAATACTTTTTTTTTTTTTTTTTGGAGATGGAGTTGCACTCTGTGGCCCAGGCTGGAGTGCAGTGGCGGGATCTCGGCTCACGCAAACTCTGCCTCCTGATTGTACAGGTCTATTGTACAATCTACTGATTGTAGATATTAACCGCATCTACAAAGTATCTTCATGGCAACACCTAGATTAGGGTTTGGTTAAATAACTGATACTAATAGTCTAGCCAGGCTGACACATCAAACTTACCATCACATACATACAAAAGAATATAAGAATATTTAAAGTATCAAAAGAATGATAATGTGGATACCCATGCACCCACTGACCACTGGAAATTTTCATATGCCTCTTCATATGCCACCTCCTTCCCTTCTACTACAGTGGGAACCATTGCCTTGAATTTCGTTTTTCTTTTACAGTATGTATGTTTCTGAATTATATATTGTTGCAAATACATGCTTTTGGATTTTGTTTAAATTGAATTATTCTATATTTACTTTTGTACTTTCATAACTCAGCAGCATTACTTAATGGTTTTGGGAGTAGCTCTGTTATAGAGTATCCTATTTGTACATATCACAGATTATTCAGTGTACTTTGGGTTATTTCCAGATTTTTGCTATTATAAGCCCTGCTGCCATAAGCATTCTTGTATGAGTCTCTTGGTGCTTATGTGACGATTGATGCCCTAAAATACAGAGTTTGTACTAGCAGTGAAATTACTGAGGCGCTCTCTCTTTTGTTTAGACAGGATCTTGTTCTGTCTCCTGAGCTGAAGGCCAGTGGTGTAATCCCAACTCACTGCATCCTTGACCTCCTGGGCCCAGGCAGTCTTCCCACCTCAGCCTCCCAAGTAGTTGGGATTACAGGCATATGCCACCACCCCTGGCTAATTTCTGTTTTGTTGTTGTTGTTGTTTTGTAGAGACAAGGTCTCATTATGTTGCCCAGGCTGGTCTTAAACTCCTGTGCTCAAGTGATCCTCCCATGTTGGCCTCCCAAAGTGCTGGGATTACAAGTGCGAGCTACTGTACCCGGCCCCTCATCTCTTTAACTTTGTTATAGATAACCTCCAAACTGGTTACATTTATATATGCTCACTAGCAATGTATGAAGATGCCTGTTGCTCTACATCCATGTCACCATCTGATATTGTCAAAATTTTTCATTGTTGCCAATTCTGGTGGATGTGAAATGTATCTCGTTTTAGTTTTAATTGCCTTTCATTGAATCCAGTAGGAGTAAACATTTTTTTTTTATGTTGGCCATTTAGGTTTTCTCTCTTGAAAGGTCTGTTTAAGATCTTTCAGCAGTTTTCTATTTTGGTATTGGTCTTTTATTTTGTGTGTGTGTGTGTGTGTGTGTGTGTGTGTGTGGTTTTTTGTTTTTGTTTTTTTGAGGTGGAGTCTCACTCTGTCGCCCAGGCTATAGTGCAGTGGTGCAATCTTGGTTCACTGCACCTCCACCTCCTGGGTTCATGTGATTCTCCAGCCTCAGCCTCCCAAGTAGCTGGGATTACAGGCTCACACCACCATGCCCAGTTAATTTTTGTATATATATATTTTTTTTTAGTAGGACGGAGTTTTGCCATATTGGCCGGGCTGGTCTTGAACTCCTGACCTCAGGTGATCCGCCCACCTCGGCCTCCCAAAGTGCTGAGATTACAGGCATGAGCCACCGTACCTGGCAGTCTTTTATTGATTTTTATAGGAGTTCTTTATATAACTAGATGCCAGTTCTCATAAGCTTTGCATGTATCTTCCTATTTGTGGCTTGTCTTATCAATTTTTTCATATTTTCTGATTTACATGTTCTTAATTTTAGTAGTCAGATTTACTGATCCTTAATTTCTGTCTTGGTCTGTTCTGGCTGCTATAACACAAATACCATAAACTAGGTGGCTTGTAAAAACAAACATTTATAAACAACAAACATTCTAGAGAACTGTGAGGATTAAGTCCAATGTCAAGGTGTCAGCAGATTCAGTGTCTGGTAAGGGCCCATTTCTCATAAGGCCCTTTCATGTTACAACAAAGTTCCTTCAAGCACTTGCCCAAACAACATTTTCTCCGTACTGCCCCGCCAACACACCCCACTGCCACAGTATAGATGAACGCTGTTCTGGGAGTTTATATAAGTGGGATCCTACAGAAAGCTGTTGCTTGTGGTTGGCTACTCTTGCTTACCATGTTGTTGAGATTCATCCACATTGCATGTTATCTATAATTCTTTTATTGCTAAGTAGATTTCCAGTGTATGGATATTCCACAGTATATCATTTTCTTATTAATGAACATTTGTTTTTACTTTGGCTTTTATGAATAAAGCTGTTATGAACATTTTTGTGGAATATGCATTGAGTTTTCTTGTATTATACCTAGGAATGGTGGACTTGCTGGGTTATAGATTAGGAATATGTTTTAACTTTATTAGAAACTGCCAAATATTGTTATTTTCCAACATAACCCTGTTGGTTTTACCACTTTAAATTTCAGTCAGCAATAAGAGTCTCCACACATCTTGCCAGTACTTGGTGTTTAATTTTTTTTTTAAATTTGGCCTTTCTTTTGGGTGTGTAGTAGTATCTTATTGTGGTTTTAATTTGTATTTTTCTGATTATAGTCATGATTGAGTATCTTTTCATATGTATGTGGAGCATTCGGATATTTTGTTTTGTGATACTATCCTTTCCAAATCTTTTGCCCATATTTTTAGTAGGATTGTTTGTCTTATCAAGTTGTAGGGATTTTTTTTAATGTATTCTGAATACAAACCCTTTTCAGAAATATGTATTTTTTCCCAGTCTATGACTTGCCTTTTTATTTTCTTAATGCTGTCTTTTGGTTAGTGAGCAGAACTGTTCAGTTTTGACAAAGTCCAATTTGTTATTTTTGTCTTTGTGGTTAGTGTTTTTTGTGTCTTGTTTAATAAATCCTTTCCTAATCCAGGGTCATAAAGACATTTTCCTTTGATCACTCCTAGAAGTATTATAGTTTGAAGTGGTTTTTTTTGGAGATGGAGTTTTGCTCCTGTCACCCACACTGAGGCAGGAGAATCACTTGAACCCGGGAGGCAGAGGTTGTGGTGAGCCAAGATCACACCACTGCACTCCAGCCTGGGCAACAGAGACTCCATCTCAATTAAAAATATATATATATATATATATATCTAATTGTGCTAATTCCATTCTTTTGTCTGTTTAACTACTTTGACATTTTGATTGGAAATTACTTGATCAAATATGTGTAGGTATATTTCTGTTCCGTTGATTTATTTGTCTGTTCTTATTCCAACATCTCTTTGTCTTAATTACTATAGCTTTGTAGTAAGCCTTGAAATCTGATAATGTTCTAATTTTTTTTTTCTTCTTCAAGATTGTCTTGTCTATGCTATCTCCATTTTATATCTGTAGAAATTTTAGAAGTAGCCTATCAATTTCTGCAACATGGCCTGCTTGCATTTTTGATTGAGGTTTTATTGAACTTATAGATCACTTTGGGAAGAACTGATAACAATATTAAGACTTTCAATCCACAAACATGATATACCTCTGTTTAAGTTGTTTTAAATTTTTCTCGGCAGTACTTTATTTTCAGTGAAGCACTCTTGCATATTGCATATCATTATTTCTAGTAGACAGCCAGTGTTCTGATATTATTGTAAATGTTTTTCCGTCTCATTTTCTAATTGTTTGGTACTACATATGCAATCATGTTATCTGAAAATAAAGGCAGATTTGACTTCTTCCTTTCTGACTTTTCTACCTTTAAACATTATATCTAAAAGAATGGTAGAGACTGGAGTAAATACTTTCTTCTCCCAGGGTGGTTAAGCCCAGTCCTCTGTGGGGGAACGAGAATGAGAAGCTGATTTTTCTGGCTGGGCATGGTGGCTCACGCTTGTAATCCTATCACCCTGGGAGGCCAAGTCAGGCAGATCACCTGAGGTCAGGAGTTCGAGACCAGCTGGTCAACATAGTGAAACCTTGTCTCTACTAAAAATACAAAAATTAGCCATGCATGGTGGAGCTCACCTGTAGTCCCAGCTACTCGGGAGGCTGAGGCAGGAGAATCATTTGAACCTGGTAGGCGGAGGTTGCAGTGAGCCGAGATCATGCCACTGCACTCCAGCCTGGGCAACAGAGCGAGACCACGTCTCAAAAAAGAAAAAAAAGAGAGAAACTGATTTTTCTGATCCCATTAGGAATTGAAGTGGATAGGGTTGAGTTTTAGCTTTAGATAGTTTCAAGTCATCTCTGGTCACAAATGACTCAGGGCGAAATCTGTACTTTGTGTGGTACAGGCCTCTTGCTCTAGTAGGACCCTGGGATCTAAGTCCCAGAGATCCCTCTCTGCTTTCTAACCCAGCTGTCAGCCTCCAGCACTGACACACAGTAAAGAAAGTTCCGTTAGGAGTGAATCAGTGGACACAGAGCCAACTCTAGGTTTGAAACTCCTGCGGATTCTAGTCCGTTATACCAGCCCACAAGGTTGTAAAAGCACTGGTTTCTTCTTACTTTAGCAAAATCTGCCTATTGGAGGCTTCATCTTTGCCTAGCCTTGTAGAGATTCAGCATATGCCCTCAGGAGGAAAAAAACTGTTTAAAGGCTGTTGTTGTTTTTTTACTTTGGAATTTAGTTATTTGTGTTCTTTGTGTCCACAACTCTCCAGTGTTTTTAATAAAATGGTTTTCTTTCTAAGTTTATCTATTTTGTTTTCTTGCTGTTATGGCTTTATCAATGGTTTCTCATGTTCTACATCTGCTACTAGTAGCAGAAGCTGCTATTCAGCATGAGGTTTTTATCGTTGTTTTTTTTTTTGTTTTTTGTTTTTTTTGAGACAGGGTCTTCCTGGGTCGCCCAGGCTGGAGTACAGTGGCACAATCACCGTTCATCGCAACCTCTGACTCCTGGGCTTAAGCAGTCCTCCCATCTCAGCCTCCTGAGTAGCTGGGACTACAGGCACATGCCACCACGTGCCTGGTTAATTTCTGTGGGTTTTTTTTTTTTTTTTTTTTTGTAGAGACAAGGTTTTGCCATGTTGCCCAGGCTGGTCTTGAACTCCTGGGCTCAAGCAGTCCACCTTCCTCAGCCTCCGGAAGTACTGGGATTACAAGTGTGAGTCACCACGCCCGGCCTCTGTTTATTCTTACTATGAAGTAGTTATTTGGGCTATAAACTTCCATAATACCCCTCCCCTCTTCACTTAGCACTAAGGTTCACAACAGGCATTGTTGCCTGGCAGTCTCTTGATGGTGGGTGAGGATTATTTCTCTCCTGCCCTTACACTCAGGCTATGAGTCCTTCAGTGTCTCTGCTTTAGGCAATGAGAGTCTCTTATTGGAACCCCCACCACAGGTTAGGCAGGCCCTGGGCAATGTGTCCCCTGAAGCTTGGAAAGCTAACCAGATTTTCGTATGTCCTCCAAGGGATTGCCAGCTTTGGTGTTCAGCTTACATCTCTGGATTCTCCTTCTCTTAGTTTTAGGGTCCTAAGTATTCTTAATTTTATTGCTAGCTTTACAATGAATTTTCATAAGATGTATTTCATATCTTACCCAGTGTTCTAATTATTTTCATTGGAAGAGTAGGTCAAGGTGTCTAATTTGCCAGACTTCTGGTATGTAGCCTTTACTAAATTTTGAATCCATTCCCCCTCTTCAACTCCACTGACACTGACGTGTCAGATCCTTCTCATCATCTCTCACTGTAGTCTCTGAACTGATTCCCTTTCTGTATATGCCACCTTCTGCTCCCTGATCTTTCAAAAATGTAGTACACATCCATAATATCTTACCCAAAGCATTTGGGGCCAGATATATTTAGGAATACACTTTTTTTTCCAGATTTTAGAAAGGTGGTGTATGTAGTTCATATACCATCTGTGGCGTTTTCATTGCAATCACCTCCACCTCCTGCTTATGTAATACCTTGAAATCAAACACATTTAATATTTTTGGAGCAAAACTTGTAATTATTCACCTTAAGTGAGATCAGTAAAGTCTGTCATTAGCCTCACATCAGGTTAGATTTTCCCGCCTAGTGAACTTGAGACCACACTTACCAAATAAACAAAACTTTGACTTTTCAGGTTTGAGATCTCAGAATTGCAGATAAAGGGTTGTGAACTGATGCCTGGCATTCAGTTATATCATTCTCAAATTTTAAAATTCTCCAGATCCTCCACTGGAGTTCTTACTGCTCATGAAAGTAAGTCTAGCCTCTAAAGAGGCTTCACATGTAAAAATGGCCCTTTCTGTTCTCTTCTTCTGATACTCTGATACTTCTGATACTCAGCTTCCAGACACCTTCATGGCTTTGTGCTTTTTGTATATTGTAGTCCCTCTTTCTCATAGCCCCTCACTCTCAAGTGTCATTTCTGGAAATCAGAATCTCTCAAAGTTAGAGGCTGATTATTCTGTAGAACCCTACATATACTTTTATTTATAGAACGCTGTATATACTTTTGTTCTAGAAATATGCAAATTGGATTTGTATTTGTTTTCATGTCTGTCTCACTAGACTGAAGCTTCTTGATAGGTCTTTTTCATTTTTGTATATGCTGTCTAATATGGTGCCTAGTATAATAAATGCTTAAAACACATCCGTTGAATGGTTTCCCAGTTAGATTGTATAACCTTGTGTGAAGATTTATATTATGTTTTGTGTTATTAATTTATTTTGTTTTTATTTGTTTTCTTCGGGCTTTCAATTAAATGCTCTATCCGCAGCATTTTCTAGACCTGGGACTTACCTGGTAGTAGGATTAGGACAGTTGTAAAATGACTAATTTTTAGACAGGACTTGCGGGATGTAAGCGTCAGGTAGTATTTAAAAATCTGGGAAATCAGCAATAAATGTGCAGATCTCATGGGAAAGTACTGGGAACTAGTGTTAGGTAGGAGTTTTCTGCATGCAGACTGTAAAATCAGTGTCTCAGCATGAATGAGGGAAAAAGGATCTGGGAATTTGGGTAGGAGGAAGCAGAAAATTGAGGAGGACTATACTGTGAAAGGCAGGTTTCACCCTTGCCGTGGAATAATGGGAGTACTGGATGGGAAACCAAATCAGAATCCTGGATGTTGACCCTTTCTTGAAACTTGAAACATAAAGCAGAGGCTTAGTAATAGTTCAGTATAAGGGAGACTGTTTACTAGAAACCAGCTTTCGTGATCATACCATGTAAACTTGATAATGAGACATAACCTTGGTTTTCTTAATATATTACTCAGCTAGAGGCAGATTTATTCCCAGAGCTTGGGGACAGTGCCACAGTAGAACATGTAAGTTCTGTTGTGCACCAAAGCAACTTAGTGTAAACATAGTGGGTACTCTAAAGACAGATCTTAGTAATGAAGGTAGTATATGCTTAACACTGCCAGTTGCCAAGATTGTACTTGTTAGTCTAAATTTTTCTTGTATTCATGTTGTTTCTTTTTCATCCCTCTCCCCCATTTTTTTTTTAAATCTTCAGAAACTGTATGAGCTGAATAACCTTCATGCACTTATGGCAGTGGTTTCTGGCTTACAGAGTGCCCCAATTTTCAGGTTGACTAAAACATGGGCGGTGAGTAATATTCTTTAGTTAATGAAAGGTTAGATTTCCTGTGGAAAGGAAAGATGTATTCATTTCCTTTGTAATTCTTATTAAGGTTAATATAATGATAATCGATAAGGATTTTTAAATTGCTTTGTACTCTATTCTTTGATACCTACATTTTTTTTCCTTAAGCAGTACACTGGGTGTAAGGTAATTTTGGGGTGCAGTTTGGTGCTTGGTTTTTGCTCCTTAGAGAATCATTTTTGTTGGAACACTTTCAGTATCTTTGACAACGTAGTGTTTAATATTCAGCTGATGGGAAGGTATAAATACAAAAAAAATGCATTTAATCATAAAGATTATGCTTTTGGAAAGTTTGAGGAATATCTAAATCATAGGTTTCAAAAAAAATTTACTGATTTCAATTTCCATTATTAATCTTAAGTTTTTTCCTTAGGAATAATGGAAAACTCGATGATTAACATGGAATTATTTGCTGTTGCTGCACATGCTGATACTGTTATGTTAATCATATTTGGTTCTATTACTTACACAAGATCAGAGTATAAATTTTGACCTCTGCAAATTTGTATATTTTCATATTTGAGTAACATGATACTGTACTCAATCTTTTCAGGTATTTTTCATTTAGATTTTATATAAATAAAATTTTATGTTCAATTAAATTTATTTATATTCAGTACTATTCTTAAATGTTAAAGAGCGATGATTTTGTTTAGAATCTATTACATTTTGTACAAAGGATCAATGTGTTTTTAAGGTCCTGTGCTAAAATCATGATTGACTTTTTAAAATTTTTTTTATTACTAAAATATAACTGTTTTTAATTAACAAAGGGCTGCTTTTGCTTTTTATAGTATCTGAAGAGACAGATGTTTCCCATGAAAACCAGTGTAGATTTCTATATTGGAAAAACATTAGTATGGAAAAGCTTATGATCCTTTTTATATTTCTTTTTCCTTTTTTATAGAAACACCTGAGTGTGAAGAGTTTTCTTTAAAAATTCTTTTTAGTAATTATGGCCTTATTGTCTTTTCTTAAGATTTGAATTTCGTGGAGGAATGGAAATGATTATAAATATACAGTTATGAATTATATCTTTAAAGTTTTAGGGAAAAGAATTATACTCTGTGGAAAAAAAATTCTATTTTTATTTTTTGTACCCAGGCTGGAGTGTAGCATGATCATAGCTTACTGCAGCCTCCAACTCCTGGGCTCGGAGGATCCTCCAGCCTCAGCCTCCCAAGTAACTGGACTACAGGCACATGCCACCGTGCCAAACTAATTTTTTAAAAAGTTTTTGTAGTGATGGGGTCTCACTGTGTTGTCCAGGCTGTTTTCGAACACCTGACCTCAAGCAGTCCTCCCGCCTTAGCCAGAGTGCTGGGATTACAGGCATGAACCATTACACCCAGTCCTATACTTCTATTTATGATTTGGTTTGGTAATGAGGTACATTTCTCTGAAGTTAATTTTTATTTTCCTTGAAGATATTTTCATTGCTTCCCTTATGTATTTGCATGGAAAATAATACTTGTTATTTGGTAACAGCTTCATTATTTATCTGAATAAAACTTTTGATGGTTTTTATTTTAAAATATTTCATATTGTGCTACGCACTCTGTAATTGCTTGACATACAGTAGTGAATGATCTAGACAATGTTCGATTCTCATACAGCTAACATTCTGCTGGGGAAAAGTAAATTGCAAATAAATAAATGACTTAAATAGCGATAAATGCTCTGAAGAAAAATAGAAAGGAAGGCAGGACAGTACTGTTATGTAACATGGTAAGAGAATCTTTGATAAATGACAGTTCAGTAGAGACCTGGAGGAATTGCGGAAACCATTTATTTGGATATCTGGGAGAAGAGAGTTCCAAGTAGAGGTAATAACAAGTAAAAAGGCCCAGATACATTCAAATGGCAGAGTGGTCAGTGTTGACAGTAGAATAAGCTAGGAAGGTACCCGGTGGTAGGAGATTATTTCAAAGAGGTAGCATGAATCAGATAATGGAGGTGCTGTTTACTCATATTCGGAGAGGTATAGAGAAGGACCATTGTGGGCTGGGGTTCTATTTTACACATACTGTGTTTGAGTTGGCTAGTAAACATCCATGTGAACTGTAAGGTCAGAGTTAGATGTACAAGTTTAAGGGAGTGGTTGGGGCTAGAGAGAGATTGTTATAATGATCAGTGTAAACTATTTGAAGCTAGATGGTAATCATCTAAGGAGGGAGCATAGATGAAAAGCCCTGGGAGCCTCCAGGATTCCCAAGTAGAGATTGGAAAAATGAGGAGGAATCAACAAAGGAAATTACAGGTAGGACACATTTTTCAGTCAAGTAAAGAAAATGTTTCAGTAAAGATTGATCACCTTTGTCAAATGCTACTAATAATTCGAATAAGGCACAAAGTTTTTGATGACCTGATAATTGGAAAGGATTGGCGACCTCAGGAAGAGTGATTTCAGTAGAGAAGTGGGGTGAAAAACTGACTGGAGTTGAGAGAATGGTGGTGAAGAAGTGGGACAGCAAGTATAGAGGATGCTCTTGAGGAATTTTACTGTAAAGGACTGCAGTGTGGTTTGTAGAGAAATATGGTATCTGGAAGGGAATGTGAGACCAAAGATTTGTGGTATTTTGTTTTGTTTTTGGAAATGGCATCAATGGCAATATGTTTTATGTTGGTGGCAATAATCTAGTAGAATGAAAAAAATGACAAGAGAATGAGGGATTACACCAGTGATACGCCTGATTAGATGAAAGAGAATTAGATATAGTACTCTAGAGTATCAATAAGAGGTTATCCATTTTAGGCCGGGTGCGGTGGCTCACCCCTGTAATCCCAGCACTTTGGGAGGCCGAGTCGGGAAGATCACGAGGTTAGGAGATGGAGACCATCCTGCCTAACATGGTGAAACCCTGTCTCTACCAAAAATACAAAAAAATTAGCCCTGCATGGTGGTGGGCCCCTAAAGTCCCAGCTACTCGGGAGGCTGAGGCGGGAGAATGGCGTGAACCTGGGAGGTGGAGCTTGCAGTGAGCCGAGATTGCGCGACTGCACTCCAGCCTGGGTGACAGAGCTCTGTCTCAAAAATAAAAAGAATTTATCCATTTTAACAGCAGGGAAGGGAACACATTTAGTTACAGATGCAAGTAAGTTGGTAGATTTTGTGGTGGGGTTCTTAGAAGTTCTTCTGATTGTTTTGTTTCCTCAGACATAAAAAAGCAAGGTCTTTAGTTGAGAGTGTTATGGGAGAGGTGTTGGAGGTTTGAAGAAAGAGGAGAGGATATAAAAGTCATCTGTAGAGTGTGAGAGTCCATTAACTAAGAAAACCTAATAGGTTTGATAGATCTTATGTATCTTTAAAGTAAAACCAGTCAGCAGAGTTATGTATTCTCCAGCCAGGTTCAGATATTCAGCATAAGCTTTCAATAGTGCCAAGAGTTGTGTTTAACCAGAGTTGGGATTTTTTGAGGCTTTTATACCAGAGGGGTTAAGGGTAGCACAAGAGGTGAAAGACAGAAAATATGAGTTGTTTTATTGACAGACGAAGAAACTAAACCAAGTAAAAGGAGGGAGATAATGAACAGTGAAAAGGTAGGCTGGTCACTGGTTTGAAAGCCACAGTGGAGTCAAATAATCACTGGATTCAGAATGAGAAAGGGAGTGAAAGCTAAGGGTGGTAGAAGATAAGATCGTTGGAGCAGAAGTCCAGAAACTAAGAAACCAGAATATTGGGAGTATTATCTCCATGAAATGGCAATCACCAAGATTTATGATAAGAATAATTTCAGTTCATGGATTTTTTTTTCTCCAACTACTAAAATCTTTAAGATACAGGGGAAAGATGACTTATAGATCTATAAATGACAGTAACATTAAGTGTTGTAATCTAGGGTTCTCTTGTTTAATATGATAGCCATTAGCTACATGTGGCTATTAAACTTAAATCACTAAAATTAAATAAAATTAAAAATTTATTTCCTTGATCATACTGGCCACATTGCAAGTGCTCAGTAGTCACATGTGACTAGTGGCTATCATGTTGGACCGCACAGGCATAGATTTTCACCGTCGCACAAAATTCTGTTGGACAGCACTGACCCTAGTGCCTTCACCTTAAGAGAAGCTGGAGGATTTTAGGGAGCAGGGTGAGATAATGAGCTGGAAGAAATTGTGAAGAGTAAGGAGCAAAGATTACACCTAACCTACCTCCAGGCATATGTTACAAGGTTTATAAGAAAAGGAAGGGAATGCTTACAGAAAATGTTAAGGATGGGGATTTTGCAGAGGATGGACGATGAATTCAAGAGGATACAGTTGGAAAGGTTTGGGATGATTTTGTTTTGTTTTAACCGGTAAAGAGAATGTACCAAAAAGACAACAACATTCTGTATAGGGAAAATATTAGGAGTATTTTCTTTAACATCAAGGAAAAGGATGCTCAATTTCACTGTTGTATTCAACATACAATTGCTATTGTATATGTTTTAATGTTTGTAACATCATTATTCACAGTAGTCAAAAGGTAGAAGCAACCCAAACATCTATCAGTGGATGAATGAATAGACAAAATGTAGTATATACATACAGTGGAATGTTCATCTCTCTTAAAAAGCAATGAAATTCTGATACATGCTGCACCATGAATAAACCTTCAGACATTATGCTAAGTGAAATAAGCCAGATACAAAAGAACAAATACTGTATAATTCCTGTAATTCTACTTATATGAGGTACCTAGAGTAATCAAATTCATACAGACAGAATCTAGATTGGTGGTTGCCAGGGATGGGGAGAAATGGGATTTGGGAGTTATTATTTAATGAATATGGAGTTTCATTTTGAGAAGATGAAAAAGTTTTGAATATGGATGTTGGTGATATCCTTGAAATGGCCACCTGAAAATGGTTAATTGTATGTTATGTATATATTTTACCACAGTTTTTTAAAAATAGTTTACTTAAAATGGTTGAATATATGAACAATACAAAATCGGT